CCCGAGGTGACCGAAACCCTTTCTGTGACCCCGGGTCCTGCTGGGCACAGCCACTGCCCGGCCAGGGTGCTGCAGCTTCACCCTGGGTGCTGCCTCCAGGCTGGGGGACACCGGGTGCCCCCGGGGATGCTGCGGCCGAGGTGCCCCTGAGGGATGGGGGCAGCGATGTGGAAGCTGAACACGGCTTTTTCCTTTTCTTTTTTTAAGCATTATTTTTACTGTGACTAAACAACCTGCTTTAATGATCTTTACAGCTTGTTCTTTAACGAGCGTGGGACTATGAACAAGGGCAAGGTGCACCGAGGGTCACTTTTGAAGGCTACTGTGGCTGTGCTCTTCTTTTCTTCCCTGCTTTGATTCCAGCCGGCGCTTTGCTCAGGGTTTTCTTCCTTCTTTGTGTTTCCATGGGGAAAGGGGGAGCAGGGAGAGGATGACCCAACTTTTGGCTGTTTGATTTGTTTTCTTCGATACTTGAAGCCGTTTTTTGCATCCTAATAAGAGAGCTGTCCGGCGCTTCGCCCGCTCCAGGGCTCCTTGCCTGAGAAAGGAAAAAACCTCCCTGGTGAGGGGGTCTGAGCCTCGTGCCTTGCCCAGCTCGTGGTTTTTGGCAGGGCTTGGCATGGGCAGGTGGTGCCCCCCCTGGATGGGGTGCCCTGATGTCGGGGGGCGGGTGCAGGCGGCGCTTTGGGGAGTGGGGACGGTTGCGCCCGGGGCTCGATTTGCACTTTCCCCCTGCTAGCCAACAGGATGTGGGGTTTGCCCAAGCCCTGAGCCTGGAGCTGTGGCACTGGGGGGCTCCTCCTGCCTGGTGGGTGCTGCCCGGCAGCCCTTACCCGTGCCAGGGGACAGATGTGAGCAGGGGCTGTTCCAGGGACCACAGGGCTGAGCTTGGGCTGGGCACCTTCCCCGGCCATCCCCAAGGAGATGGAGGGAGCCAGGTCCTTGGCCCTGGGGGTGTCCCTGGCTGACAGGGGGCCAGCTCTGGGGCAGCTTAGCCAGGTTGGCAGTGCTCTATGGGGGGGCAGGTTTGGCCGAGGACCCTCATGATCCTGAATCACCTCCCCAAAAGCTTGGGTTTGCCAAAAGTTTGAGGCAAGCTGGGAGCGGATCCGGGTGCCGGAGAGCAGAAGTTGTCCCTCCTGCGTGCATCCATGTGCATCTGTCTCTAGATGGATGGCTAGAGAAGATACTGCAGAGGGTTCTTCCTCCCTTTGGGCACTTGCTGGGGTGGTGGGGCAAGCAGGCCGAGCCCTCCAGCCAGGGGTGGCAGCTGTAGGTTTTGATTCTGGACCAAACCCACGCCCAGACAGACGGGGCCACCCCGGGGGGGGCAGCAGCAGAAGTACTTGAATGATTTAGGACAGAGAGTCTGAAGAGAGTCAAGTTGCACAGTGAAAATATATATTTTTATACCTAGCACAACTTCCTGTATATTTTTGGGTTTTTTTTCTTCCTTGTTTTTTTTTCTTTTTTTCTTTTTTTTTTTTCTTTTTGATTTGGGTTTGTTTGTTTGATTAATTATTATTATTAGGAAGGCAAACTTCTCAAATGTGAAGGGCGTTGGGTTTTTCCTTATCTGGTAGATGAGGGCAAGCATTTTGCACTAATGTTTCCTGTGTGTGGAGGATTAATGATATGTTTGAAAATGTTACATGGTAATGATTGTATTCTTCCGAGAAAGAAGAAAAAAAAAAAATCACAAAAAAACACCCAAAAAAAAAGTAACCCCTTTAAAATACTGAATGTAAGGTGAGAACAGAGCAGTCCATCGATTGTATGCGGCTTTCCTGAGTGCCTTAGAATTTTTTGATCATTTTTTTTTCCGAGGAAAACAGATTAAGAAGATCAGATCATAACCGACTCCTTCCTCCTCTTTGTTTACGACACTATTTTAAATTATAGAATTTGGGGCTGCTTTATAATGTGAATAGGAAACTGCATTCATCTAGGTCTGATAGTGTAAAATCAAAGCATCAGTATTTATGGTATGTCTGCACCTTTATTCTTATGCTTGACTATTAGCAATATTACCTGTATATTATATATCTAAAGTTATT